ACGCAGATTGACGCAGCGTAACGCAGAGAATCATTTTACCCCCGCTTAATAATGGCAAACAACAGGGATAAAACGATTCACCGTGGGTGCTTTCCAGCAACGTGCACAGGCGACACCGTGTAACACAGTGAATCGTTTTACCTTCGTTGTTTGCCATTGTTAAACGAGGATAAAATGATTCTCTGCGTACACTGCGTCAATCTGCGTTTCCTGCTGGAAAGCACCCATAATCTTACACAGTTTGAAAAGGTTCAAGATCATTTTTCAGAAGTCACAGAACGAAAGACCGTGTAGGTATTTCAGAGGGCTCGCACGTGTGAAAGGTTCCAAGAAGTAGACTTCCTTGGTACTTCCGAGGGTGGTCTCAATTTGTACAAGAGTCTCGTGAGAACGTTCACCAGGGCGCTCCTTCGCGTCGTCCACCGAGCATTCTCAGAATCCGCTGCGAGGTGCGCCGGGGGCTGCACGGCCGTTCCTCCTGCGGTTCTCCCGGCGACGAGCGACGCGCGGGAGGTCCTTCGACGGGGAAAATCACTCCGCGAAGGATTCGGCGAGCGCGGCCCTTAAATGCGAAACGTGGCAGTGACAATAAAAGGGAAATCAGAAGGCCGCGCATATGTTAGAGACTTACGGACATCTTGTCACATTTGCGCGGCTGACTCGGTTATACATAGCGACGGCAATTCTCTGTCGTTGTATTTCCTCCGCGAGTAACCGGAAACAACGTTAACGGCAGTGCTTCAGGGTCAATCGGGTCGTCCGCGACACGCTCGCAGCCGCGGTACCCTCGGCTCGCTCTGAGGCTCTCTTACTCGCACATACATATATATGTAGACATATATATATATAATATATAATTCTTAAATATAAGTCTGTCTTTTTTTTTATTAAATAAGTAATGACGGCTTACACATCGTTAGTATAAAGTGGAAACCGAAAGGTATACGGTACTTTCAACGCAGGACGAGCGAGGTGCAAACCCGGTCGCACCGTCTCGCCCGTGGTACAACTGGACGCGGTCACGCGACAGGGAACCAGGCGCCTCTTTCGCGACTTACTTCTGTACTGCAAGGTGATCGTGAAGGCCTACATTGCGCAAAAAAAAAAAAAGACCAAACTCTCGTCTGTAAGAAAACTGTGCGCAACACGTGGAATTGTACTCGAGGCCGCGCCCTCCCCCCCCGCCCCCGGGTCGTCAGAACAGTTCACGTTGGCGCGGAAATTTATCTCTGACGTTCCGCGAAACTTAGCCGCGGCGGGAAAAGCGGGATTTTGCAGTTGGTTCCCAAAAACTGGAGAACCGCGTCCGACCTCAATTGTGTTTCACACATCAAATGTACTTTCGTTATCCTGCTCGCGCGGGATTTCGATGCCGGTCCGTCAACGAGGGGGGGAAAAAAAGAAAGAAAAAAAAAAGAGTACTTCACTGCGAATGTCCAATCTGCGCGCATCGTACTCGAATGCAGAAATATAAATCGCGTGCGTCTCGCGAGTAGGATACACATACACACACATACATACATACATACTTACATACATACTTACATACATACATACACAAACGTACCGCGCGACTTCGGGGGAGGGTGTGTTGAATTCGCAGACGGGGACGATGGCACCTCCGCGAGCGTCAAGCTCCACGTATGTGAAAAAAAATCACGAAACGCGTGATCTTGCGAGATAATTAACGTGGGAGGCGGGGGGACGCGATTAAACGAAAAATCTCTGTCCAGGGGAAGACTGCGTCAAGCGGTCAAAAATTCGCTCGCCACGCGCCAAGTCAAGGTCTCCGGATCCAGTTAGACGGGATGTAAATAATTAGCGACTTCGCGCGCGAAATCGATCGCGACGGCCACGTTTTGTCCGTGGAGGAACCGATAATAGAAGCTGTACCCCGCGCGCGCGCGCGCGCGCCTATTTTCAGGGGCAGAAAACCAACAGCCCGGGGCGAGCGAATCTCTCACCGCGTCGAAACAAATGGCACACCGTACATGCATACGTAAAAAGAGGAGGCGTGTGTGCCCCACGTGAGAATCAGAAAACGGATGTGCCGGACACGGTGCTCGTGCGATCCGATCGCAAAGAGGACGTGCACACGAGCGAGTGTAAAAAAGGCTCACAATCAGCACAGATTGACGTACATCCGCGGCCGAGCGCCTCGCTAATATAAATAAATACGATACATGTGTAATAGAGAGAAAGGGATACACAGGTTGCCGCAATGGTCGCAAACGCGGGGAGCCTGGGGACCTGGGGGTATAATTGAAATTACGATACGCGCGGCGGTATTAAGTACAAGTGTGAGCACGTCCCCAGCCTCCCTGGACCTACGCCGATGACTCACCGTTCAATCCTCGTTGCGCCTCGATTGAACGGCGAGCTCTTTACATTGGCTCTGAACGGATCGACCGACCTCGCTAAGAAAAAAAAAAGTGCGCGACTCGGAAAAACCTGGCAGTGCGTGCCGAATATGAATATAATCGTTACCCATTTTTCCACCGGTATATTACGTAACGCAAGGGTTGCTGAGAATTTCCTTCCAAAAAAAAGGAAAAAATATAAATGCGAGTTTAAAAAGGAAACTTTTCCAGTCTTGTGTTAACTAAAAAGTAAGTTAAATCCTTCGAAGAATACTGCGTGTTCGTTGCGCCGCGATCAAGTGTCCGCTAAGACCCTATTGCGACAATAGCACGTGAATCTTGGCCAGAGTACACGAGTGAATACAAAAACTCTCTTCAGCACGATCGAAACAGTCTATAAATCTCGCGACGCGATAATGTAAAAAAAAGGTCCGTTTCGCTTTGCATCTGTTACACTTACAATTAATAATATAGCAATCATAATTAATAGGCAGCGTTAATAGTTTTATATATATAGATAATAGCGAAATAATAATTAATAACCGTTGATATAATAATAATAACACAATAATATAATAATACGTACAATGGA